GGGATGTTTGCATCCAATTGCAAGGTATGGGATTCTAGTGTGGCTGTGCGGGGTTTATATAGCCTTAGACTCTCCAACTATAACAAGTAGCTTTTGTGGTGTGTTTCTCTCAAGGTTCTTATCATACTATCCAGTTGGATTCTCTGTAATCTTTTGGAAGTGATAAGTGGTTCTTCAATGTAATGAGTGGATAATAATTATGATGACATTTTTTTTTGTGATTATTTTTAATTTTTATTTGTTTGTCATATCATATTTGTTTAATATATTATGAATGGGAAAACAAGTCTTTTATAGTATACATAATCACTAAAAAATTCCAGTATCATGGATGTTTAAATAATGACAATACCGTACTTATATATTATGAGAAAAGTTTAAAAAATGTTAAATAACATTCAATTATGAGAATGTTGAATTTCAAAAGTATGAGATAAAGAATTTTATTATTTAAAAGGGATCTGGTATGAATCAGAAATAATTTTACAACAAATACTTTTTGAGGAACCCTGTTAGAATCCTATAGCCATTATTAGTACGGGTAATGGTCTAGATGCAACTAATTATATACTTTAGAAGGACAGGATTAACAACTAATGAGATAATATGATGCAAATCATGCAATGTGATTCAACTTGAAAAAGAAAAAGGCTACTCATTAGACAGAAACACCCTTGGGGGCAACCAGGCAAGGCCACACTCACAAGGAGAAGACTACTAGAAATGTAAAGCTGCCTCATTTCAATTCTCCCATGTGTTGACCATAGTATTAGAACTATCGACTTTTTTATCTGTTTAACAAATTTTTATTTTTGCATTTATTTTTAATCTGGCATTTTGTGAAATAAATATCACTATCTTCTCAATTTTAAAATAAAATTTCCTTTCTTCTTACCAGTGTTGTAAAAATAAAATAACCACTGTAGCAGCACTATAGTGCTATGGCATTGAAGAAATCCTCCAATCTGCTACCGCAACTTCATTGCAGTGCAGCTTCCACAAGAAAGACGGCTATCATGAACATGATGGGTGTTGTGGTTTTAACAGGGATGTAGGACTACACATGATTTTGCCCCCAGTCCCATTGTCCCACTCTCCCCACTCTTTTTAATGTTTTAATCATAATTTTGTCTTGAACAATTGAAGTTTTGAGTTAATGCCGTGCCAATTTTTATGCAGCTATTTTTATTTGTATATACGTATAATTGATTTATTTCAACCACTATGCAACTTCTGTTATTTGCCTGCAAGGCTATCAGCTATCAATAAAACTATTTCACTCATGCATAGATTTTATTGATTCCATTTAAATTCATTATTCTAGCACTTTATATCTGAGTAATGCCACATGCTTAACTAGTTACAACAACCTATAACAGTACAGGTAACATAAGGGAAAAATTAGCATAACTTACTTAGGAAACAACTGAGATGATGATGAGCCGGTAGCCCATGGTGGAGCAGGGGCATTAGAAGTACTAGCAGCTGACCTAGTAGCCAACGGCCGTTGCCGGACAAAAGGATTTGCAGTATCCTTGGAAGCAGAGGACGAAAACAGTTGCCTTCTATTTTCATGCACTTTCAAGTTCTTCACAATCAATTAGCATGACATCAGTGTAAGCAATTAGAAAACACAGAGAAACACACCAACACAATAAAGCGCCCACCTCAGTTCGCATGGTGAGAACATCTTTAAACTCTTTGGTGGTGCTCATCAACCGCGTCTTCAGGTCATCAACAACCGTGGTTGAATGGCTAGTGGTGTCGGTGGAAGCGTTCCCGCTCTCATTCCGAGAGTTGCAGAGTAACTGAAGATCCACAACCGCGGAGTTCAGTGCGGTAATGTCTTGCTTAATAACCGCCGTAAGCTCTTGGATTTCCATGGTAGGGTCGTCAAAAACCGAAGTCCTCTTAGCCACTGCGAGATCAAAACGAATTCAAAGTTCAATATCGTATGATTCTAAAAATCAATTCAAATAGGTTTGTAATTCGCTTACACTTGGCGAGCTTGGCGAGTTTCTGAGACGTTTGGTGAATCCCGAAGCCGACCTTGGAAGCTCTTTTATTGAACTCTGATTGATTTGCGATAGCGGATCGCTGTTCCTCGAATCTGGATGAGCTACTGCTTTGTCCATTTGGTGCTGGTACTGTCTTCTTCAGCCTCTCCGCAATGCTCTGGAATTCGTGCGTTCGATCTCGAAATGATGACTGCGCCGATTTGGTGTGCATTTTTCCGGTATGTTAGACGGTGATGCGAGATCCGTGAAGCCGGCGCCGGAAACCGGTGTTTTTTTCCGGCGAGGGATGGTGAATAACAGGGAACGGGAAACCCTAGATCTAATTGAAATTAATTGGAATTGGAATTGGAATTGGATCGCATTTAGGGGAGTGGATAAACCACTAGGAGGAGGTATGCTATAACCTATAAGGAGTTTTGGAAATGAAAATGGTGCATTGCAGCAACAGCTTCACCTTGTTGCTCTATTCGGATACTTTACCTTGACGTCGGTCACGGGATATGATTTTCTGGGTGGATCCTCTTTTTGTTTCTGTAGAAATGAAATAGGAAGAAATACAATGGAATATACAAAATAAATTGAAATTTACAATTTTTTTTAATCAGCATGTATGTTGAGTTATAATAATTATTTTAAAAAATAACTTGATTATTTTTTATTCAATCAATATTTATTACAAATAAATAATTTAATATTTTTATAATTACATTATTAATATAAAATATTCATTGTGGTTAGTACTACACTGTGGTTGACTAATTTTGTATCTCCATAATTTCTTTAGCAATCAATTTATATTTGGTGTCCTAAATTTATTTCATTTGACTTTTTACTGTTATCACATTTTCTAGTCATGATGAGTATTTTACTCTCTTTGTGAATTTGATTGAAGTTAGTTTTTTCTTTCCTTTATCATCATTGTCTTTTTTTTTGGTTTTTTTTTTTTTATATAATTTCATTTGTGTATTTATAGACAATATATAACACAACATGACTAAAGTCTCTTTTTAATTAAGTCTTCACAAAAGTCGAGATCTAAAATATGAATTTAGTAATTAGTATTATATTTGTGTGATTTTTAAGACTATCAAAATGGATTATAACTCGTGAGTCAAACTATCAAGAACTTCTTAAAAAATTACAAATTTCGATATTAATGAAAAATTGAACCTAATCTACCAAGAACCTGACTCACCTGAGTCGAAGTTGTGGTGAGTCAGGTTAGCTCACAAGTCTAGTAAAAAAAAGCACCTCAAACCCCAACCATCCCACTCATGTGTCACTAAAAAAAATCAAAAACTCACGTAGTCCACTTATGTGTTTCAATATTCACTCATTCTTTTGATTAAAATGAGCTTTTGCATAGATCAATTAGTAACTTAAAAACTTTTTAAACAATTTTGGGTCTTTTGGTTGCACATTAAAATAGAAAGGAAAAAAATTTATAACTAGTTGGGCATTTTTTTTTATTTTCTTAAAATTAAGTGAGTAAGTCTGTTTAATTCACCAATTCATAATAAGTCAATCCAGACTCATTTTATTATAAGCTCATTAAAAGATGAGTTAAGTTAAATTAGTTCACCTATTAACTAATTTGTAATGGGTCATATTAGACTAAATAACTCAATTTTCATAATCCTCAAAATTATTCCTTTTATTTTCGGACTTTGAACTATTTCCATAACACCTCATAATCACTCTTCACTCTTTGGTTGACTTTGATTATATCAAGCAAACTATCTTGCAAGGGATACTTTATTATCAAGTGCGAAGTAGAGACCGTTATATCTAAATATTTGGGCTTGTACCATTGCATGTGATTTTATAAAAGGAAAATACATTGACCACCAAGTGTTTTATCTAAATGGTCTTAGTTGGCTTTTAAAAATCCAATATTGTCCAAAGTTCAACGAATCCCCAAACTTCAATGTGATAACCTACAAAACCAACTAACATGTCTTTGAAAACCTTTTGAAGGCTCACTAAGTACATTGTTACCTTCATTGAGTTTTGCAAAATTTGGTTGCACACCCCAACCTCTATAGTTCTCTACTCTTGTATTAAATCTCCCCATTTTGTAGTCATGACTTTACTATTATTATCATTAGTTGTTAAAGAAATGAGTTATCTTTTACCAAAACTCCTCAAAAAAGACATCAAAATATTATAATGTTTATTCTCAAAAAAAGAATAGTCTTAAGCCATTAATTTAGAGATTTAATCAATTTATTGTGAGTAAAATCTCAACGATAATTGTAAGAAATATATAATTACCTTCATAATTGCATTTAACTACAATTCATTTTTAAGATGAACTTGGACATTCAAGTTTGTTATAATGCCAAAACTTGAATTAGAAGAGTCAATCTAAGATTTATTTAAATATAATGTTAATTACATTTTATGTTTTAAAATTAACTTTATCAAGATCAATTCAAAATCTACTTTCTACGTTCCTCAACTTTTCACCAATTATTTTTTACATTTTATGTAGTTATATATTTATTAAATAATACTACTTTGATTCGTTGTATAAAAACAATTAAGTGTTTTTTTTCTTCATCCTAAGTCACTTAAGATATATTAATTGTTAATCTTCTTTAGTATTCTTTATTTATAGTGAAATTTATTAATGAAATACATGTTCAAATGCAAGTAGATGTTTGTATTGTCTATTAATATTACAAGTCATATTCCTTGATAGAAAAAAAAAGTCTTTTGAATTATATGTAATGTCATTAAATATAAATACTATGTAAATGATTTTTATTAATAATAATTACAATAATAAAATCAAGATTTGAATCCAAAATCTTATATATATTATTCCAATCTTTCACCATTATACCTATTAGTAATCCACTACTTAAATCCATTAATTCAAAGGACATTTTTTTAAATAGAATTTAAAATTTTAACACTATTAATTAAAATATTAAAATACGTACATTATTGCTTTTATATGTCCCAACATGGATATGCATTAAATATTACAGAAGACCTCCACTGTAGTATAATAATCGTGCACACGGTTCTTAACCTTGTTACATGTATATCAATACGTACATTATTTGACAAACCTGGTCTTAAGTTAAACTCTGCAGGAATGAATATATATATTTGAAGAAATAAATATTGAAGAAATACAGAAGGCCGACACTCGCGTCTTTGTTTTCATTTCTTTGTCACCCCAATGACTATGCCACAAAAAATAAGAAAACTGTAAGGAAAAATATTAGTACAAAGAAAATTTTGATCATCAACCACCGATTAGAAGATATGCTGTTGAGATACTTCAACAAAGCCCCTTGTGCCCCCTCTACATTTGCCAATGTATCATCCATGTTTTCATCAATCCTGCAAATTATGTACCTCTATCAAACCCACTATGTCCCAATTGGCTAATATGAAGACAAAAATCAAGCAAAAGTCAATTCACCATAACAGTAATCGAAGTATACGCATTCAATTACTCACGCCAAATTGTCAAACAAGCAACCTTCATTAAACTCGTGACAAACTCCACTAGTAAACTAGCACTTTAGCTATAACTAGTAGCATATATTGATATCCATAACAAAAGATTACTATAATGATTTAAAAATAACAATAAAACCATATTGACAAATAACGTCTAACCTATTGTTCATAAATTCATCATTGCAAGGTAGAAATAAAATATATAATTTCATAATCATATATAAGTAAGCAAATCCTAACATCAAGAGTGAACAAGTTGAGCAAGATCTTCAAAAATAATATTTTAAGAGAAAGAAAATCATTCTCACCATTTTACCAGGTTCACACCATGATCGAGTATATAACCATTTTGCAAATAAGTTAGCACATGTTTTACAGATAAATTCACAATTTTGACAACATGGTTGCATAACTTTCTCCCCTTCTACTTTTTTGTTAATCATTCTTTTGTTAAATAGGAATCACATATATTAAGAAATTGATAAAAGAAAGTATTCAAAACTTGAATAAATCCCAGCATTGACCAGCACATGCAAATTTAAACCAAGTTTTCACTGCCTCTAGTGCTTCCACCAGCTTATATCATCAAACCAATCCTCATTTAAGATTATATAAGGAAAAACACTAATTAGTCTACATTGTCCTACTCCTATATATACAAAGTCCAAGATATCCCAAAATATACTCAAGAAATAAACTACCAAATAAGAAACCCAAAACAATTATTTAAAAAAGTCATAAACAAGGAGGGAAAAGGAAAAAATCTGTAAATTATCGGAGCTAAATTCTTTATGCAAACAAGCAACCTAATACACATTCGCTTTACTCTCCAAAGTTTGCTTAGTACTTTATCGGAGTTAAATTCTTATGCAAGTTATTTCTCTGCTTAGTAAGCAGCAAAACTAGCAATTCAAACAGTAAGGCACAGCATCACAACCTTGTAGTCAACACACAGTAAACTGAAGCAAAATTTTGTTACACATCATACAAGCTCATTGTAGTCAGAGCCAAAACTCATTTCAGTCCAATGAAACCAGCATAGGCTCACTTTATAATAGAATTATGGGCAAAGCGATAGGGTTTGACTTTGATCTAATGGTAACATACATTGAGTATCATATTGTAATACATAAATAATGAACAGTAAGGATATATATATATATATATATATATATATCACACAAGTGAGGCAAATAAAAACCTGATGGCCACTTCTCCTTGTTGGGAAACAAGTGTTGCTAACTGATTAAAAATGTTGCTAAGCTCGTGAATAGTGGACTCAACATTCTGAAGAGCTTCAGTTCTGCTTTGCATGTAACTATCTTGCAACGGAACTGCCTCCTGCTGTTGCTGCTGTTGTTGTTGTTGCAACAATGGTTGACTCTCCCCATCCACTTGCTTCCTATAGATTTAAAAGCCATGAAAAAAGTTTAAAACAAAATCTGGAAGAAGCCAGAATTCCAGATAGAATTTGACCCAACCTGGAAAAACCTTTAAATATTAGAGCATAACAAAAGTTTTTCTATTATTAAAAGGAAAGTGGATCCACAAATCATGCCTTATAACTAAGCTCTCAATTTGGACCATGATGCACTGTTTGCAGTGTAGCCTGACATTTCAACTCTCATCCCTCTGTTGGGCCAAGCCAGCCCAACAAAGGAAAATGGCCTGAGTTGGCCAGCCTGCTTTTCTACATGTATTTTGGGCTTGACCCACCAAATTCTCCTGGCCAAAAGTTTCATTAGTCCAAGAGTTTCATTGGGAAAGGCTAGGCCAACAAAACAAGGTCTGAAAGGTCAGGCTGTTTAACAGGTCTAATGGTAACCAAACAAGCAATTGAAGTCCACAAGTTAAATTAAGTGAATAAATTAATCAACTCAGTAAAGCAGAGGTTGTGAACTTATGCTTGTTTGATGCAATCTTGCAAACACAACAGAGGGATAGTCGGATAGAAATTAGAAACAAAGTTAATAAGTTGAAATTAATATTGGCACAATGGTTATTACAAAAATGCTGCAAAATTGAGTTGCACTTCAATAACAATTCCAGGAAAACAAATAAAAGCAAGGTATGTGACCACACTTTTACAATACACTAATAAACCAATCAGTCTTAGAATCACCAGTTCCTTTGAACAAAAATTATGCACATAATAGTCTAAATTTTAACCAAGCAAACTAACACATATTAATGTGATGAAAAATGAGTAAATAGTCATTTTGGTTCCTGAGATTGGTGACTGGTGAGAGTTATTACGTTAGTCTATGAAACTAAGAAAATGTCAAATAAGTCCTCAAATTTAACTATTCATCATTTTAATCCCTGAATATATACCACTATTATTACTTTAATCACAAGTTTTTTATTAATTTTGAACTAATGAGTGTTAATTTGCACTTTCAGAAACTTATTTGACATTTTCTTAGTTTCAGAAATTAATTTGACAGCATCTTTCAAATTCAAAGACCAAAATGATCATTTACTCGATGAAAAAACATCAATCACATCATCTAGCAAGTTACACCTGAATTACAAAAAAAAAAAAAAAAAAAAGCAAGAAAACAACTAAACATGCTTAACTAAAATCCTACAATCTACAAAAGAACATATAAAATTAGAAATAAAATCACTCGACTTACTTAGGAAACACCTGAGACGAAGATGGCGACCCATTAGCCCACGGAAGCGCAGGGGCATTAGAAGTACTAGCAGCCGCCCTTGCAGCCAACGGCCGTTGCCGAATGAAAGGATTCGCAGAATCCTTAGTAGCAGAAGACGAAAACAACTGTCTTCTATTCTCATGCACTTTCATGTTCTTCACAAAAACAACAACACAACATCGATCAATCAATAAAGCCATGGAACAAGCACAAAACAAGCTCACAAACGCAACAAAGTACCTCAGTTCTCATGGTGAGAACATCCTTAAACTCTTTGGTGGTGCTCATCAACCGCGTCTTCAAATCATCGACCACCGTGCTCGAATGGCTAGTGGTGTCCGTAGAAACGTTTCCGCTCTCGTTTCTAGAGTTGCATAGCAACTGAAGATCCACAACCGCAGAGTTCAGAGCGGTGATATCCTGCTTTATAACACCCGTGAGCTCTTGGATTTCCATGGTAGGGTCATCGAAAACCGAAGTCCTCTTCGCCACTGCGAATCGAAACGAATAGAAATGTGACAAATGTCCGTTCATATATACATTTAATCGATTAGAATAGGTTCGTTATTCGCTTACACTTGGCGAGCTTCGCGAGCTTCTGCGACGTTTGGTGAATCCCGAAGCCGATTTTGGAGGCTCTTCGGTTGAACTCGGATTGGTTTGCGATGGCGGATCGCTGTTCCTCCGATCGGGAAGAACTGCTGGTGGGCCCATTGGGCCCTGATCCGGACTTCTTCAACCGCTCGGTGATGCTGTGGAACTCCGGTGTGCGATCCCGGAACGACGAGTGCGCCGATTTCACGTGCATTTTTCCGTTGCGGAAATTCGCGGGAAGCGAGATCTGTGAAAGGAATAAGAAAGAATTAAGAACCCTAGGTTGAAGTTTGATTGGATTTGGATTTGGATTTGAATTTGAATTTGGATTTGGATTGCATTTGCGGTGGTAATGAATGTAATGAAATCGTTAGGGGAATAAACGGATACGAAGGAGGAGGTGTGTGTCTGAACGAATTTGTTTCGTTTCTTTCTGCCTCCGAAGTTCTAACATCGTGTAATTTAGGTTGGGGTCTTTTCTTTTCTAGCATCTCAATTATCTTGGAGTTATAACTGTCCTTGTATTATAATTATAATTTATAATATAAGATTAAAATAAATGAATAAACCATTAATTAATACAATAAAATAGATGTTCTTTTTTCTTCCTTTTTTTAACAAAGGAGAGCGAAAAAAATAAATTAAAATGACTTTGTGTAATCCAACTTCCTATTATTAGCCCACCTCAATAGTTAAAACTTAAAATAAATTAATAATCATTAATTCAATAAATATTCTCTATAATAATTCAATGATCGGGTAAAAAAAGACTGTGATTGTTAAAAACATGAAAATTTAAATTCAATCTTTATTGTGATTACCTTTATAATTTTTTTAATTTTTATAAAAAATACATATAACTTTTTATATTAAGTTAAATTGTCCATAAAATTAATAGAAATTATGTTATATTTGAAAATTGGGAATTTTTCGATGTTAGTATTAAAATATATTAACCTATGACTAAATAGATGAATATTTAATACTTTAAGACTATTTTTATGATGTCATTAAAAATGACTATTTATAAAAAAAATTTAGTTTAAGGATTTAAGAGAGAATATTTTGTTACGGTTTATTCTCAAATAAATTATGACACGTGTTGACAAAAAAAATCCCGCCGATAGATAATATGCATGTTATTACATTTATCAACTCAATAAAATAAAATTACTGTTGATGTATCGAGTGAAAAAACTAATAATTATGAGAGCACCGAAAACAGAAACAAATCTCTAAAGACAAAAATTGTCCAACTCTGTTGCTACACTTAAATTTGCTATCTTCCGGAAATAATTATCCCGAATCTGCAAAATAAAGATTATAATCATCATAATTTTGAAAGATTTAAATATTTGACATTGAAATCTTTTGTCTGAACTGAACTTTATAATACACACGGCACACGTAATTTATAATTTATAATTCTTGAAAATTTAAAGATGAATCTTGGAATTCTTTTGGACACGTAATTGTGTGATTTGTCTCTTCTTCGTGATAATAAAAGTATATTTAAATTTGTATTGGTTCAGATTATATTGTAATATTTATATACATAGTCATGTCAAGTGAATTAATATAAGCTAATAATTTTTTTACTTTTAATTAGTGTTTTTCTTTCAAGAAATATATATAATTGAATTATATAAAGATGACAATCTTAATGTTTTTGTAATTAATTATAATATTTATACATATTATAAATGGAATGTTGTGTAATTTTGTATTGCACAATACATCTATGCGTAAAATATCCACTTCTATTGATTTGGGGAAAAGTAACATTATAACTTTTTTTTGTTTTGGTCTTTGGTTGGTAACGGAATTGTTCATGTAAACTTTGTAAAAGTCAATTGTCTTCTACTAGCTTATGTGGCTTATGTTCTAACGCAAAGGTTGTTCACACCATAAGAAACACATTTTTTAACATAAATTTGTGTTATTTTCCATGATTTTAATGGTGAAAATTTTTAAACAATCAAATTTTTTTTAGGAAGCCAAACTTAAAATATTTTGTACATTTGATTTGTTTACATGACATATTAAAATAATTGTTTATTTTATGTGGGTTAATTTGATGCACGGCGTATCATAAGTTATAATAAGTTGAGTAAAAAAAGTTTAAATTCAATTTAAGTTTCTAAAATGAAGTCCAAGTTCAATGAGAACCTAAACTTTTACATACTTTTGTTGTTGGATTGAATTGAAAAAAGTCTCAAATTTCAACTTATGTTTGAAGTTTAAAGCCTTAACCCTACATTTTACGAGTAGATTTAGGATAGGCTATACACAAATTTGGTACGAGTCACATAAGGTATAACATGTCAAGCCAAAAATCATAAATTAAACATAAAGGTTCAAAATGAACCTCAAGTATGTGGAGGTTCAATTGTTATGAGTTGTTACATATTGGCTTAGTTTAGGTTATGACTACATAAGTGAAATATGTATTGATTTAATTCATGTTAAAAATTTAAAGTATAAACAATTACTACACATATCATCAATATATATTTACTTTTTTGTTCCTTCAATTAAGAACTTCATAATTAAACATGTTTGATTTGAAACACTTGAGATATGTAACTTCTAAAAGTTATATTTTATATAAATCATGTGAATGGACATAAAGCATAATGAAAAAAGTCATATTGATTTTTAGGACATGTAACCAATTCAAAATTTTTTCAAATGTTACCCTAATAGTGGACAATAGTGAATTAGGATTAAAGAATAATAAATAAATAAATATATATATATATATATATAGGAGGGTTCAAACGATACCGGTGTAACTTTTACTAAGTGTTACATTGCTCAATAATTTTATATTAAATGTGAATTTTAAAAATTCAACCGTTAGATTGAAAGTTTATATCTCTTAGATCATATATGTTAAATTTTGTTAAAATTGAACAACAACTTGAAGGTAATCAAAATGTTCATATTTTAGTGTATTTTGAAATGAATATATTACGTCAATTTTTTTTTTTTTATAAAAATGAAGTATCAAATCATCTTGAATTAATATAAAAATTTGTATATATGATCTAAGAGTAAAGAGTTTTCAATCTAACGGTTGAATTTACAAAATTCACAATTAATATAAAATTATTGAGCAGTGTAACACTTAGTTAGAATTATACCAGTATCGTTTGAACCCTTCTCATATATATATATATATATATTGCTTTTAAAATAAAATTCAAACTTAATATACACATATATTTTTTTCATGCTAAACCATACAAAGTCATCATAGAATTAAGCTAAAATATCCAATTTTAAATAAAGTTCAAAATAAAAAATCTAAACCTTACATTTCTTTGGACATATTTAAAGCCCACTCCCATATTTTATTTTGATCAACTAATGATTTTGTCATTTTTAATGAACAATGATCAAGAGGTGGAAAAAAAAAAAGAGTGAAAGAAAGTATTGAATGTGACAAAACAACTTATAAAACTTAAATGCAAAACTATATAAAATATTTTTTTTAATCCAAAAGTGAGTGTAGATAGTTTTATAATTCGTTTTAAAACCATTTTAATCCAAACCAGTTATTTTTAAATTGAAGTTTGAAAACTTAAAAAATGTAAATTTACAACCACTCCGAATGGGCATAAACTAGTTATTTTTTTAGGTTAAATGTGTTTTATGCACTTATAAAGTTTTAGACTTTTAATTATAAACTATTTCATGTCTTTTTAGTTTTTTTTGTCAACGTTGAAATAGACTAAAAAAAATAAGCAAAATAAAAAAAGACAAAAAATGTTAGCATCTAATGACTAATTTTCACAATGAAAAATAAATAAAACTAAAGTGAATACAAACTATATAAAAATTAAAATAATTTTCTTATAATTTTATAAAGACTAAAAATATATGAGTTATATTATTTATATAATAATTTGTATAGCATTTTATACAATAATACTTTTAGTGTCTTGCTCTCTTCGTTTATATTCTATATTTATTTCTAACTTTTTCTCTATTAAACATAATCTATACATTTTTACAGATAAAAAGGAAATAAAAATGTGTAATTATCTTTAACTCTTTCCACTACTAGTATTTATTATATAAATAAATTATTACACAAATAACATTTTTCAAAAGCATATTTTTCAACTGTTAACGAGTATCAGGAAAAACCTAGATGGCATTTCCGATATTTCAGCCAAAATGAAGGGTAAACACCAATTAATACAATGAAAAATAATTTTTACTAACTTTCTATTTTCTCGTGAATAGGCGGTGTGCATAAATCTTATCGCCCAAGCCTCGTGCAACCTCTAGAACGTTACGGAATCTTCGTGCCCGTCGCGTGAACATGTTCAATCCTAGCCGTTCGTATCACGCATCACTCGTTCATAAAAGTTCATTCGCACTTGCTAACTGTGGACGCGGAGTAGGCGATCATAACCTGCGCAAAAGATTTCCAATCAAGCGGACCATAATTCGCCACGTGTCCAAACAAATCAGTGACTCAGTGTTTTCGAGCTATTTACCCTTTCGAATAACTATTTTCAGTATTTTTTTCAATCTAAAAACCCTTACTCCGCGAACCAAAAGAAACCCTACTTCTCGTGCGTCTCTCGCGGGTTTTGAAACAAAATATAAATACATAGAAATCGAAATTGTCGGTGAATTTAATTTCAAATTTGGGGGATTCCATCGAGGTTTTAAATCACCCAGGAGTGATTCAAGCCCTAATTCATGATTCGTGATCGTGATCGTGATCGCCGTGTTTTGGGGAGGATTCGACTGTTTCGTCGTGTGTTGGTTGAGGTATGTGTGTGATTTTGTTATGAATTTGTAGCTGATATGCATGGTGTCGTTTATAATGCAATTAGACCAGTGCATGGGGAAATGGTTATGATCTTAGTTTTTGGGTTGGTTGAGGGATTATTTGTGATTTTTCATCTGGTTGTTGTTACAGATCTGAAAAAAGCACCCAGTCATGTATGATGGAATGTGAACATTGTAGAATTTCGGTCTGTTCTGTTTATTGTACATGGAAGATAGAGAAGAGAACTCCCATGGAACTGAAATTCCCAAAAAATCGAGATCTTTGGATCTGAAGAGTTTATATAAATCAAAAGTGACAAAAGAGACTCCAAATAAGGGCTTAAAGAGGAAAGGGAGTCATCCTAGGGGTGTTGACGAGGATAGGATTAAGAAAAAGAAGACTAGAAAGGAAGTATCTCTGAGTAGCTTAGAGAATGCTGATGTTAGCATCAAGAAGGTTGCCGATGAAGAATATCAAAAAGGGCTTGGTTCTGGTAGACAGGATTTGTGTGAACAAAAGCAGGGATTGAGTGGCAGTACTGGGCTTAATAGAGGTTCACTAAGTTTTGATGGCAACGTTCACATTCCAAAGCGAAGAAGGGATTTTGTGGGGCGAAATAAATTTGAAGTTGGTCCAGCACAAAAACTGGCTGGGCAGCCTAGTAGTACAAGTAGCCATGGTGATCAAATGCCTAAGTTAACTAGTGATGATTTGGACAAGAAGATCGACTCTTCAAAGATTAAACTGAAAAGAGATTTTGATCAGTTTAAGGAAAGCAGGAGTAATTCTGCTGTAAATAGTGGTGATTCCTCTTTAAAGAAGTCACGGAAGAAGGATAGAAAGCAAAAGGCTTTGGCTCCATATAGAAATATTGTTGCCAAGGAGGATAAGCCTCTGATTGATGGCAGTAAAATATCTGATTATTTGCGGGAAGACGAGGAGGAGAATCTTGAAGAGAATGCAGCAAGGATGCTGTCATCACGGTTTGATCCAAATTATGCTGGGTTTTGTTCAAGCAGTAAGCCTTCTACATTGCCATCATCAAATGGTTTGTCCTTTTTGCTCTCTTCTAGTCGAAATATTGATAGTTGTGGATCAAAGTCACAGTCAGGTTCAGAATCAGCATCAGTTGATACTGCTGGCAGAGTCTTGAGGCCAAGGAAACAATACAAAGAAAAAGGAAGTTCCCGGAAGAGGCGACATTTTTATGAAATTTCATTAGGTGATTTAGATGAACATTGGATACTGAACCAGAGAATCAAGGTTTTTTGGCCTTTGGACCAAATTTGGTATCATGGCCTTGTTGATGGCTATAACAATGAAACAAGGTGTCATCATATCAAATATGATGATCGAGAAGAAGAATGGATTAATCTCCAATCTGAGAGGTTCAAACTTCTGTTACTTCCAAGTGAAGTTCCTGGAAAAGCAGGAAAAAAAAGAGCAGCAAGGAAAAATAGAAGCTTGGTTCAGCAAAAAGAGAGCTTATCCAGCAAAGACAGGCAAGTAAGAGATGCAATTACTGAGGAAGATAGCTGTGGTGAAAGCTGTATGGACACAGAGCCTATAATATCTTGGTTGTCTCGATCTTCTCTTCGGTTTAAATCTTCTGCTTTTCATGGCACTAAGAAAAAGAAAACTTCAGTTACTCTTCCAAGTACATCCTCATCATTGTTATGTGATGTACCTGTAAAAGTACAGAGGTGCTTAGCTGAGAGTTCCCCAAGGGAAGGTAAAAGCAACCTTTCCAGAGATTCTGTATCTGAAGATAATCTAGGTGACAAATCTTGGAAAAAGTCTCCATTGCAAAGCTTCAGTTGCCCTAAAGATGTCAAGCAGCCTATTGTCTATTTTAGAAGGCGGTTTCGCAAGCCAACTCCAATATTACCACATATTTCTGAAGATAAACATGATAACACAACTGCATCTTGTTCCACATCCATTGATCCTGTGGTTGGTGGGCTTATGGATGCAAGAGAACCAAATGATGGGTGGTTTGAGACAGAGGGGCCTTTGCGGTTCACACATAATGCTGGTGTATCCAAATTTTTTTTGGACACAGGTTCAGCA